AGGTACAAAATTGAAATTTAAAGCAATCCTACTCTTTGAAAGTAAAACGTTTTCAAGATTTGAAAAACATTTTCAGAACGCATACCTGCCGTTAGGGTTAGACCGATACTTGCCTAGCTTTTCCCAGTAATGCGTGACTTCAAATTAGCCAGCCATTTGAAATTTTTGGAATTGAAAAGAATTCAGATAGTCCTGAAATATCCCTCTTTTGAAAGTTAGGCGAAGATTTTTGAGATTGAGTTTCTAGTTTTAAAAGAAGCCTGCTCTTGGTCAAAAGCCACTCATCTTGGCGGAATTACGTTTTTCTCGTGAAAATGTCTCCTTTATTTTTAATATTTATTGTACTGGGTAATAATAGGGGTTCGAAGATGGATTTCTGTCGAAATTTTATGATAGGAAGTGCTCCTTCGAATAAAATCCCAGACCCACCCGGGTTTCTTCAGGCAATTTTCCTGCTTTCAATCATTCTCACCGTCGATTTCTGGCCGTTTTATTCCTCACTCGATTTCCGGCGATTAACGTCAAAAAGTGAAACGAGAAGGTTTTGTGCGTGGTGCACATAGGAACCGGAAAAGGGTGAAAAGATACGGTAGAGTGATGAAGCAGAGAAATTTCCCTTGACAAGTGCGGAGCAGGGAACAGATAGATACGAGGTCGAGGAAGGAAAATTATTCTGGGGTTCCACGGTACGATTCCCGGAATGTCCTCCACGCTGTTCACGCCCGGAATGGCATGCGGTTATTCAAACTGAAATTCATCTCCCCCAACACCTCGGTCGATTTCGTGAAATCGTTACCCCCGAATGAAGCCTGTGAATTGAATGGCACTACCAAAGTGTGACTGCCGCAGTGGAAACGAACGTGACTAAATATGAAACCCTGCTTGCGCGAGAAGCCCTCATGAAGTTTCAGGTAATTCACAAAAATTCGTCCTTCGGTGACATGAGAAAGGCATCCGATGATCAATGGAAAACAATTTTTTGCGTTCAAAATTTCTCCTTTATTTTTGAAGAAGAGGACGCTACTTGTAGGGAAGCTTAGAAAACATTTCAAGAGTCACGGAAAATTTTGATTCAGTAAAGCATCAGTTCTGTGGGTTATTAACTCGCTTTCTTGTCTGTTTGTTTGTCCGGATCAAATTTTGCTCACTTCCCGACTAGCTAGCAAGCTGAAACTTTCAGGGTAGCTTAGAAACTGATGACAATGCAATCTTTTGTGAAAAGAATAATTACAAGAATATTTTTTAAAAAGAATAA